TTCTCTATTTTTTCTTTATCAGTTTTATAGGTGTTCATCAATTTTATTAAACCTTTTAGTAAATCAACTTCTAACCTTGCTGACTTTCTATAAGGTTTATTTTCTCTTTCTTTGTCTTGTGCTTTTCTTATTATTTCCATTCTTCTACTTAGTCAAGTTTAATTTACTTCTTAGATTCTTGACTTATATGTCTACATCATTGTTTTACACCTTTACTTTTCTAATACAATATTTTAAAACTCTAAATTTCTCTCTAAAACCTCTAAAGATAAAGATATTACTTTACCTGGTCTCATTTTGATATTTTATGCTTTCATTTTTATTCAGTTTGAAATATTTTCTAATTTCTTTTGTGTTTACTTTTTTATTCATTTAACTTACTGGGGTGACGTTGGTTAATAAAATTATATAGGTCTCAGGTGTACAGTTCTATAATATATAATCTGTATATTGTGTGTTCACCACCCCAAGTTAAGTCTTCTTCCATCACCATTTATTCCCCCTTTACTCTTTCCTACCTCTTCCCACTCCCCTTTCCCTCTGGTAATCACCATACTGTTGTCTATCTGAGTTTTGTTTTTTATTTTATTTTTTTTACTTAATCCTTTTACCTTTTTTGACCCATGGGTTATTAATAATAGTTTTACTTAATTTCCAAGCTGGAGACTTCTTAGTATGTTATTTTTGTTTCAGATTTTGGAGCCACTGTGGTCAGAGAACACATTCTAGATAATCTCAGTCCTTTGAAATTTATTGAGACTTGTTTTATGACTCAGCATGTGGTCTGTGCTGGCGAATGTTTTCATGTGCTTTTGTATATTCTATTGTTTTAATTACAATATTCTGTAAAAGCCAACGAGGTCAATTTGTTGATAATATTCAAGTCTTTAATATCTTTAGTGATTTTTTTTCTGCTTCTGTCAATTACTGAGAAAGGAGTGTTTTGCCTCATGTATTTTGAAACTCTTTTATCACACTCATACATGTTTAGAATTGTTATGCATTCCCAATCATTTTGTTCTTATCATTATGAAATGACACTCTGATAATATTCTTTCTCCTGAAGTCTATTTTGTCTGATAATAAATAGAACTACGCCAACTTTGCTATGTTAATATTTGAATGGCAAACTTTTTTTCCACTGCAGTCTTTTAATCTGGCTCATTTTTACATGATACTTGTTTTACTGAATTTTTTTAGGAGGAAGAACTGAATGAAGGTAGCCTTTCTAGCCTTACTGCTTAGGAGCTTCCTCTTTTTCTTACGCACAATGATCGTTGCTTATGCGCAAAGACCTCATACTGTCTACATTTCTCTCCCCTCCAACATATCTGAGTTTTCTCTCTCCTTTGTCCTTGCATTTATCCTACACAATGTGAATCCTACTCCCAGCATTTTCTCTCATTGCAGAGCTTTGCCCTAAGAGGGAGTTCTCTTGGCTCTTACTGAAAGTTCTCATATCCCGGACTGCTCCTAGCCCTTTCAGGACTTAATGCAGATCCTTTTTTCTCTTCATGCATTTGAGCATGTAAAACCCTTCCAGTGACGGCGGCGGCTCTCAGGTTGGCTCTTACGCCTTTTAGAAGTTTGTGATTCAGGGCTTCTCGGGTTTTTAGGGGAGTCCCCTGTCACCTCCTCCCATACACATGATGTTGCCCCTGAGTTTTGTGCTGTCCGTGGTTTGTCTCACCTGTTTGCATTTTGAGGTTTGTGGGGATACCGGACACAGTGTTTTTGTAGGTATTTTTCTCTGAGCTTTGATGTTAGGATCTTAGTTGCTCCCTGTGTGGGGAAATTCAGGGAAATCCCAGAACATTTCTACTGCTGAAGTCGTGTTTCCAGATCCCTGGCTTCTCTTGCTTGCGTTGTGAGCAGTGTGTTTGTACTGTTTAATGTTTGTAGTGGAAACATGATGCTGATCTTTTACAGAAAGGACCATCGAAGAATCCAGATTAGAGGGTTCTCTGGAGTTGTCTCTTATTGTGACTTGTGCATTGTCTTAGTGTTATAACCACAGTTCTTTTCACTACCGGCTCTTAGTGTGCCAGGGTTATTTCAAGAGAGTCTCACATAATAGCCTGTGTGTTGAGGAAGATCCCGGATAAGACATCTGTCCTCTTTAGTGATTAGGTTTTGCTCTATGGTAGATGGGACCCTCCTGGTTTCAGATTTGTCTAAAGGACATAGTTCAGAAAGGATGGAACCTCCTCCTACCCTGTATCACCTAAGTAGGTGTCTTCACGTCACATAAGTGAATTAGCTGAATGCCAACTAATGCTGGACAGGATTACAGGACTGAAAATGCCTCTGGCATATGAGGCACCTTGATAACTTGTAGAAATTATTGCCCTACCATTTGCTTAGTTACATCTGTTAAGTGTTGGCACTTTGTTCTGGGAGTGGGGTAGCTGAACCCAGCTGGGGCAGCACCCAGGGTCCTCAGGTAATTCTTTATTTTCCAGTTATACTTTTAGGTGACAACCACTTCCAAAGGAAGGCTGTGGACACATTTGTCTTCACTGAGAATCACTCTGTTCATTCGTTTCACACAGGGACTAAACCAATTGTAGGATACTCATTTGTTTCACAAATTCATAGTTTTCCCAAAGAGCATTTTTAGTGAAAATGCATCTTATAAGGTTCATAACAACCTGCAAAAGCAGACATAGCCTCCACTTCACAGATGAAGAAACTGAAACTCAAACATTGTTACCTTCTTAAAGCCATGTGGGCAACTTCATGACAAAGCCAAGAGGAGATTATTAGGCAGTGAGAGTAATTAATGCTCTCAGAAGCCTCTCTGCATGCCAGTAACTCAAAAATATCTCCAGGGAACTTGATCACCTGAGTGCCTATTAATAAATCAGCACTGGTGGATTAGTTACAATTTAGACAACATTTTTAGGAAATATTTATATTTTTGAATGTACAATAGACCATATATGTAGTGTAAAATAATATAAAGTGCAATATAAAATAAATTAGAATTATGTTAAAATATTCACCTAACATTGCAGAAATTGATTTTTTTCCATTGGACTTCAAAACAATTGTCTGTGATACTGTGGGGTACGGATGAAAAAGCTGAGTGGCAGTGATGTTAAATGGTTTGCTCACATCGCTAGTCAAAGAGTCAGGATTCAGTAGCCCACCGCTCTCATTCTAAGTCCTGTGTTCTCTCCTTTACACCATTCTGCCTTGTGACGGAACTTTACACATGTTTTAAGATGGCTGATGAACGAACCAGCTATTACAATTTAGATAGGTCTGCCCGATTGGCCTGGCTTGGCCTGTAATAATCAATTTTACAAAGCATAATTACCAGAGAAATGATGAAAAACACTAAATTGATAGTCAAAAGGTTTCAGACCTAATTTCAAGCCATACAGCTCATAAATATGTTTGGGCATATAAGGAGAAAGACTGGGTTTCCCGGCAGGGGAGTATGTATATACTTTATCAGTTTGAATAAAATATGACCCAGCTACGTTTGAGACTATTTTTGCTCTCTGCCATCTACTCCCCTGTCAGTCTTCACATCATCAAGACATTCTGCGGGCGCATTCTAATGTCATTCCTTAGCTCGTGGCAGCCAGATTCTCACATACCATACACACTTCACACCCCGACTCTTTCTCAGGATTAAATGACTCCACTGTGTCATTTTCTACTAGGTTGACTAGAGAGAAATACAGAATTTCCACAAGCCACACTTTTGATCAGATTGGTGCTGTCATCTCTCCCCAGAATCTAAAAGCTGGTTTCCCTGGGAACCTTGCAGCTCAGAGACAGCCATAGAGCAAGAGTGAAAGCAGAGCAGGCCAGCCACATATGGGTAACCCATGGTCAGGGTGGCTGGGCCATTTTGATTCTGTGTGTGACGCTCAAGTCTCTCTTACTTCTGAGCAAATTAACCCTACACATCTCATTTTTTTAATGCCCATCTCAATATTTTTCACATTTTTTTCATAGTGGAGATTTGAAATCATCTACATGACAAGTTGGATGCATATACAGATATGTGTCAGTTGTGTATGTGTGTTCACACATTTTCATTTATTTTTATTGTTGACCCAATTGTACATATATTTTTTATCAGATGGACCAATATGGCCAAATCAATTGACTTAGAAGTTTTTACTCCAGGGTAAAGCTAACTTGAGCTTTGTGTGGCAGATAGTGCTGGCCTGAGGCCAAGGTGGGGAAAAGGGGGAAAGGGGACAGGGTATTGAATGCCACTTCTTTCTGCGGGGGCTCTAGCCACACCCTGCCCGGGTTCCTTCAGCTCGACATGATCAGCTCTGTTGGCCTAGGTCCTTTTCAAGGCATTGTTCATGGATGGAAGACTGTTGTTAAGTCATAAACTTACTACTTGTATATTCTTTGTCAAATGACCCTTTTGAAACTCTTCTGAGCTTAATGTGGTTGTAATATGAACCAACCTCCGAATGGCCCCTTCTGAAGACTTGGTCTTTTGACACAGGGCTGGCTGCCACATTGGTTTCCAATCACTGATGGGAACCTTTGTCAGCATCTCCTGGGACTTTTGCTCCTCTCCGCCCCAACAATATAGGGAGCCAAATAGCTTATAAGCAGTATAATATAATACATATATTAGTTTGGGGGCAGATGGCTGATATTTCTTTTGTTTAGAGTGTAGAAAGTATAAACCCACCACTCCCAGTATGTTCCAACAGGGACATTTCTGAAATACAGATTCGTTTCTGAAATATGTTGGACACATAGTGATTAATTTTGAAAATAGAATTGGACCAGGGTGAGTTCTTAGTATAGGAAGGTTTTTTGTCAGTTGCTACTATCTGTATCCAAAACTCTAACATGAAACCAGAAGAGAACTACTGTTGGTGCCTGGAGAGTTTGTGTCCTCTTGGTAATAATAACTGTGCATGAATGAAATCAGCATTTGGATGGAGAAAGAATGTCCCATATTGGAAAGTAATCATAGCTTTTATGCTCTGTGTGTGTGTCTGCTTTGACAGCTTTTTGGAGACCACAGCCTATTTCTTCATGAAGCCAAAACTTGGAGAGAAAGAGGTGTCCCCAAATGTTTTTTTCAGTATCTGGCATGAATTCAGCTCTGACTTTAAAGACTTTTGGAAGAAAGAGAACAAACTTATTCTACAGGAGAGGTAGGTTTTTTCATTTGCACAATGGCATTTAAAAACTGGTGTTTTATTAGGTGGCACACCACTAGCATTGCCAACTTTTATAGCCTGAATGAAAAATTAGATGGCCCTCAGCTGGGGTATCAAGTCTAAGAGGGTGGTGAGATTTGGCAAAATTTGGAGTTTTGGTAAAAGAGTCACCATGCAGGCCGCAATGCTACAGAGAATGGCTGGGGTGATGGTTTGCCAGGACACCTGTCTGGTAAAACAACTTCTCTGATGAGGAAACAGCACAAAAGCAGGCCATGTAAGAAGAGTGGGACAACCCTGCTGAGATGATAAACCCACTCACTTCAGAAGACCAATATGAGCAAAGACCATAAAGGTAAGAAGAATCAGTTTTGTTTTGGTTTTGTTCAATTCATGGTATAGTGTGAAGTTTTCATTGTTTGTATAAAAACTTCTTCCAGATGTCACGAAGAAACACATGATCAATATTTTTTAAAAGAGCTTTCAAGATCCTTATAGAATTATATCACATTTCCTAAAGCAGATGTTTTCAGGAATGAAGGGAAATTTCTCCTCTGAAACATTGAACTAAAGTCTCTGTCCCTATGATTATGCAATTCCATGGAGGCGTATTAAATATTAATTCAGAAAGAAAGCCAGCCCTCCCAGGGCAGCATCCCCAAATAACTGGATCTAGTAGGAAAATGGAGAGGAAACATAATCTACATGGTAAGCCAAACATTACTTACTGAAACCACTTGGTACACTTTCCAGCATCCTTGTGTTGACAGTGACTTTGGTTTAGATCTTTAGAAAACTTACATCCTGAGGGACTTTGCTCATCACATCACCACAGTCCTCAATTTTCTGCTAATTAGCTTCATTTTGGCCTTGCTTACCTACAAAACCAGAATCACGCACCTAGTTTGCATTCATAAGTAGATTCTGATACATCAGTGCATGAGGTGAAGTCAATTGCTAAGATTTATGGACCGTGCACACTGTGCCTGACTTGGGCTAACTCATGTAATTACTCAGATTCCATAACCTTATCATAGAAGAAACTGTGCCTCTGTGTAGATGGGAAAAGAGAGCAGTTTGACCAGGAGACACTTTAAACATCTACTCTAAGATAATGCGCTTCATCTACTTGAAAATGCATCGTTAGAGGTTAACGTAAAAGATGATTTTAGTCAAAAGTTCATGCAGGTGAGATAGGAGAGATAATAGCTTAAAAAGAAGCACATGTGAATTGTTCATGTGCTCAGACTTAGCTACGTATTATCAACTTTTTACCAAGCCTGGCTTGCTCAGTTTAGAAAATTATAAAAAAGGAAACTATCTTCTCTCTGCACGTCACATACAACTTCCATTCATGAACCTTACTGGATCCCCACAGGCCTCTTTTCATCTCTAATCTAAACCTGTCCTCCTGGAAAAGGGCCTGAAGCTCAGTCACACTAAGGAGCAAAACCGAGATGAGTATTTCGCCCTCCACAGTCGTTCGCATGGAGTCTGGGATTACAGTTGAGTGAGGGTGGAAATGGTGAGATGTAGTCCTCACCGAGAGGAGCCTGATGGCGCTGTAGTTTTGGTAGCTGTTCTGATCGGTAAGTGACTTGCAGCAGGAGGCTGGTGTCCTGTGGTGGAGCCCCCAGAGGTCCTGGGACAGGAGCACAGGTAGACACTGTCATCTCTGTTCCTACATACACCAGGCATGAGCTGCTGAGGTGCCGTCGTGGAGGAAATGTTGATATTGACTCATTCAGGTGCAGTCCCCGCAAGACAGAGTTGTGTTTCTACGTAACACTATTGATAACGATCTAATATGTATATTTTATGCACTTGGCATGACCAGAACTTGCTTTTCTTCACTCTCTAAGTATTTCATAAAGTCAAAAAGACCCTTTTTTTTTTGTACTTCGTTCTGTGCTCTCATGTCCTGGAAACATGCCGCAGGCTCTTTGAGTCCCACTTGGTGACCATTTGGCAGTGTGACGCCCTGGCAGGTTACAAGTGCTCTCCTCTGCAGACTTCTCATTTTTCTAAGTCATTTGCTTTTAATAAAGGGCTAAGGGGGAACACGTGGAAGGTGAGAGTGCTGCTTTGCCCTTTGACTTCCGAAATATATTACGTCTCTTGGCAGATCGGCTGCTTTGAAAAGCAAGACTGTTGGGCTGAGTTGTTTGTAGGAAAATTTTGTTCCTTTCTGTAGTGCAGCACCAGCTACACAATTTCCAGGACACAGTGTGACGTGAAAAGGCTGGGCCCCTTGTTCAAAAATTGTTAACAATTTCAAGATGGCAAATCCTTCAGCCACGTGTAAAGCCCTCCTGAGGGGGGGCCCTGGTGACTGCACACATGCACACCCGGGAAGCCGGCCTGGCCTCACTGTGAGCTTTAGATCTATTTTCTGTACTTAAATGGAAGGAAGGGTAGGTCAGGAATTCTTTGAGTGCCCTGGGACATTGATCGGAGACAGGAGTGTGGTCAGTTAAGGCGTTAAGCCTCTGGGACAGTTACTGTGAGCGTGAGTAGAACCTCAAGTAGAAATACTGACGCTTAAAATGGGACACTGTGTCCCAATATGCTTGTTTCCTCTCCTGCATTCCTATAATATTTTATATTGTGTTTAAAAGCTATGCCTATGCTGCCTAATGATATGTCTGTTCCTATTTTACACCATAACTTTTTTTCCTGATGTTTGCATTGATCTCTATTTCCCGATGTCTTTGCTTCTGGTACAGTCCTTACTGTACCAGGCCACGGTGCCTTTCCCTTCTTAGTGTCCCCATAAATGTTTGCGGATGTGACTTGTTGCATCATTGTATTTGGGAAAGAAGGGCTTAGACTAGTTATGTTTTCTTGCATAACTGAAGTTTGTCATTAAATGATCGTTGGTCTATATTAAATTATCATTAAGTGCGGTGGTAATAAAAACCCTACTCCAAGCACCTGAAGCAGAAGACCTTTATTTGCTCAGATACTCAGACCATGTAAGGGTGGGATGGAGCTTGCCCTGGGCTTCCCGAATGCAGGATTCTAGCCACAGTCCCGAGGGGTTTGTCAGGTGGATTTCTGCCTTTCTCTCTCTCACTATCTGTCCTTTTAAATGTCCTCCCTTCTCCTCCCCTTCCATTCTCTTTTCCTCTCTTTGTCTCTCTCTTCCTCTCCTTCCCTCCCCACTCTCCTCTGCAGTTTAGCTTAATTTCCAGGCCAGGCTGTTCCTTTAGTGGTGGACCCTTGGCCATCGATCATGGCCATGGCCATGGCTCACATTCTCACAGCCCAGGGGAGAACCTGCTCCACCACCTAGAACATTTTAAGGAATAGCTCCAGATGAGTGTGCCTGTAATGGGGCCCACGGTGGCCTGAGGCACGGGGCACCGTGATTAGCTGAGCGGTCCATCTACCCAGTTCTGCAGCCAGAGAGGACAGTTGTTATGATTGACAGTTCCCTTCATGCAGTGTCATTGGAGTCAGGGAAGAAAACTTTCCATAAAAAGTAAACAATAATCTACTCCCCCTAACTCATTAAGGCTTTAAAAATATAACCCTCTGTTTTAATGGTGTGGTTGAAATTTCCATTTCTAATCAAGTTTTCCTTGCTCTAATTTGGGATTTAGAAACTGAATAATGTATTTAAAGTGTTAAATAATGCATACATTTTCCTTACCCATTATTTCGCATTGGCGTCTGATTATAGAGTGGAAGTAACATATTTTCTGGCTTTGTCCTAATGACTCGTATGGCTTAGGAGATATATTTCTTGAAATGGTGACTTCCCACATGTCCGTGTTGCAAAGGTGTGCTTCCTTTCTAATCCATGTGGTTTGGAAAACGTGAGCCTTGCTGAGTTAGGCCTTCTGCTTACTGGCTATGTCATGAAATCATACTTCCTGACCTGCAGAATGGAGACAGTGATACCTGTCTTGCAGTGTTATTTTGGTTTAAATATGTCTTTATTGATTTTAGGGAGAGAGGAAGAGAGAGGGAGAGAGGGAAACATGGATTGGCTGCCTCCTGCACGCCCCCTATTGGGGATCGAGCCCAAAACCCTAGCATGTGCCCTGACCTGGAATTGAACCAGTGACCTTTTGGTGCATGGGATGGTGCTCAACCAACTGAGCCACACTGGCCAGGGCTTGCAGTGTTATTTTTAGAGTACAAGCAGTGTCTACATGCTAGATGCTCAGTGGCTGTTTCTCCATTATTTAACAGAAATGATATCTTGATCATGACTACCTACCTACAAGGTGATATGATATTGATAAGGCATATTGAGTATCTTAAGAATATATTTTGTAAATACAAGGCATTATTGTGACTCTGCTACTTTCTTGATTAGGGAAACTGTCTTGATTCTAATTATGAGGGTAAATTTTTATTTTGCTATATGAAGGAATTTGTTTTGATGCTTGGTCTTGTCATGAGTCAGAAAAAAATGTGTGTGTGTGTTTTTCATATACTTGGAGCTAGGCATATGCAATTGTTAATTAGAAATCCTTCTCTAAAACGAAATGTAGACTTGTTATCACTGAGCAACACAGAACATGTGAAGAACTTTTAAAAAATATTTCAGCTTGACTATATCTAAAAGATGGGGGGATAAGCTGATATTCACTCCACTATCATGGCAGGAAATGGATAAGCCTCATCTCTTATTTTCAGGAAGACGTTAGCATTATAATCCCCCAGCCACTGATGAGGTCCCATGGAGTGAAGGACAGCAAGAGCTGTATCACTTAGAGAAAAGAAACACAGACTGATTGAGAATACATGTGCTCGTTGATCCTGATGAAGGGGTTATGGTCCCAGGAGAAGACCGTGAGGAGCCCAAAACAGCTTCACTGCTCACTTTTGCTGTGTTGGAAGCTGAACTTGGTTTTCAGGCAGGGTCCTCAGCTGTCTAACTGCATAAAGTTATATGTGATTATATTCTCACTCTACATTGAGTTTTTACTAGGTGCAGGGGACACTCAAGTCTCTTTGGTGAAGGTCTCTCCTCCTTGAAC